CCCCTTTCGCATGGGTGGACGGTCACTACGCCCAGTGTCGCGAGACACTGGACGAGGGGCACTACACTCGTAAGCGTAGTGTCCTGTCTTTTGACATCTGTTGCATCTCTGCAACTTCTTGTAGTCTGTAGAGCGAGCCTTCTCGCTCTCTACATAACAGAGTTCCATCGGCCTCCGTTGTCATATCGTCTCGGTTGACGATATGATGTCGAGCTGGCGCGAGCCTGTCTCAGACTGAAGTCTTCCTGTTCCGCAATGAAATGGCTTGTTCTAGTGAATCTAGTTCAAGCCGGAACAGGTGAGTCTTGACGGGACCATCCGCAAGACCCTGCATGAACACCGAAACCAACGTGTGTTCATCCACCGGATTGGAACTTATACAACTCGTGAGATGTCGTATATGTTGAGCGTAAGCGTGCACATCACGCTTACCCTGCTTGAGCTTCAAGAGTTCGGTTCGAGCTCTGAACTCAGCTCTAGGCGGTTCAAACGTTTGTCTGAGCCGCGACTTGAAGACTTCCAACGACCCAAACGCATATTGGTCGTGCAACTTGAGCCCCAGTGCCCAAGTCTTGGCACGTCCTGCCAGATTTGACTGGGCAAATGCAGCTTACAAATCCCCGTCGTCGATGCGACGCGCCCTTATGGCGTCGTCTAATTCGACGAACCATCTCAAGAGGGAGTCTTCTTCGACCCCCCTATACTTGGAGATGTCAATCTTCAAAGTCTCGGGTCGACGCGAGTGCATCGACCCGCCAGCAGCAGCCTGCTGCTGTCTCAACAGTTCAAACTGTTGAGCACCTTGTTCTCTCAACAACTCTGCTTGTTGAGAACCTTGTTGGTGAAGCAAGGCTACTTTCTCGCGTTCAGCGTCAAGTTCATTTTGAATGATTTTGGCGATAGTAGCATGTTGGGCATCTCTATTGAGAGCCTCTAGCATGACGCTAACAGCGTGGATGCCTACGGTTGAACCCATCCGTTCAACCGCATCCCATTCGACATCTCTCAAATGGGAGTAGCCTTTACGGTAGCGTGAAAGCTTTGGTCATCTTCATCATCTAACATATTCATGTTAGGTGTGAACTTGGTCCTTGGACGGACTACGAAGTGCTACCAGGTGTGATGGGGCACCCTGAAGCTTGTACTGGTGACAGTACAAGCTACTTATTCTGATGACAGAATAAGGCGGTGCCTCGTAACTTCACGTACACTGGTACGTGCAGAGGAAGACGGTAAGAAGAAGCGAGTACTTGATTAAAGTAAAAAGTAGAACTGTATTTATAATAGTTAATGTCTGTTAATCAATCACTATTCATCTTCATCTAACTATGTCTAAATACAAATGTGTAAATCAACTATCTGCTCACCACTCATGGCGTGCGTCTGTCGTGGCGCGTCTTCGTTGGTTGATATACTGGCCTAAATCAACCAATTAGGAACTATTCTTACGTGCTACAGAATATTTGTCCTTATGACAATATTCTGAGAATATAACTCTTATAGTTATATTCTATCAACAATTTCGTATAAATTGTTATGTAACGATTCACCCCGTTACAACAGTCACTCAACTTTTATGTAAATGTGGTCAATGTAAGGCCACATCAGGTACAAAGAGGGCATGTACTGGTCTGATCCATTCAAATAAGGATTCCATGAAAGATAAACAACTCCATACAATGTGCGGCGGAAGATGCTGAGAGGCAGATGCGAGCTTCCTCTGCACGTTCTAGTGTACGTGAAGCTTCGTGGCACCCAGAAAAGGTTGCGTAGTTACATTTAGCAACGTCAATATTCGCTTCGCATATTCCCAGACAGAACAATCGGTATGTGATAGCTAAGTCTTTGATTGCGCAGTCCTAATTATTAAAGTGTAATACTTTGCCCACGGTTCCCGCGTTAAACTGCGTGCAAATTGCAACTTTTGAAACACATTTTAACATTTTAGTCGCGCGGCCGTACGATGTACATTCGATGTTGTGTTGGTGCCGCGCGGCTAGTCGGTAACAGTAAATTTTTTAGCATTGATCACTACCGAGGTATGCGTTTGGGATAGGAATCGTCAATTTTTCTAGCACAATTTGTAATACCAAAAATGGCTCATATATTTCGTAATCGATTACCATGATTATTTAAGCGCGTATCGCCAAAATTCCGTAGCTTTGGGTGAAACTGTAATTATTCCATGATGGCGAAAGTCCAAAAAGAAATTTGATGCGGCTTTGACCACCGCCTGTCGAACAACACTTGGCAGAGGCAACGACTATTCGAATGCAAATTATTTCATCGAAATAGCATTTGTAGGATCGGTTTTGATGGAACAAAATAAAATATTTAGGACGAACTTTAAATTTGTAAAACCTTGGGTCTACTTGTTAAAATTGACCAAAGGTTTCGTCTCCAGGTTTAGACTTTATCGGGAATTTTTGAAAGCCCTGGCTGGTGGCCATTTGCAACGAAAGAGAAAGATAGTAATGATCAGTTTGTGAAGGCTGAGGTTGCTAAATTTGCATTCCCATTGCGACACCTGCATTTTGACAGATCAGATGGAATCTCATCTAATCGCTTGTATGTGAAGATTTAAGGTCCAGTATTCTCCAAATCACAACAAAACAGCATCTAAGGACTTCTGGTTTTTTTTGGCAAATAAGCATTTATCAACACCTGACAGAAGTACTGCAATCTACGCAATGGACATGCACGAACAAAAGATAAACAAACGTTTATTAGGCATTTGTTCTCTTTCCGTCACTTGTCGAACCTTATCGTCTGGATAGTGCACACTCGGTACCTGAACCAGGGAGGGGATAGACGACCCCGGCCTCCGACTATGAAAATTTGAATTTTTCACAGTGGTAATCGCAGCATTTCATGGACGAAGCTTGACTGGAGCCACATAACTCCGTATAGGTTCACACCGGCGATCTGGGCAGTCACTTGCATTATCATCCTTTTGAGCATGAATGGCATCGAAAACACCCCCGTAGGCAACGACAGCAAGGACGACGCAGAGGATGTACTTGAGTGGCATTGTACCGTAGGCTTGGCTTGACTTGGTTTTGTTTGGTCTTCTCCCTGCTGCGACGTACGTGGCAAAATCAGGAATGAACCAGGACTGCATTCTCGACACTTATGTGCTGTACACGTGCAGTCGTGGCCATGGGACAAGTGAAAGTCGTCGATCCAACCATACAACACAGAAGAGAAGTCCCATCGCAGAAGCATCGTGGTTGCATTGCGCAAACAAGACGAGATTGTGAAGTTGCGATGATTGGCTCTCCGATCGCGGGTTGCAGCAATTCTTGATTTTGCAAGACAACACGCAAGGTAAAGAGAGATACGTGCGCGGTAGAGATGTTACGATAGGATGAGAAACGCCTTTCTACCCCATACATTAAAATAGAGAATCACCATCGTGTGCGCACAGTCGGATCTATGAGCGAACAAGACGAGGATTTAGTGGGTGCGACCAGCTGGCTAAGTTACAGCCACGTGTCCCCGACATTCTCTGCAACTTAATGTCACAGAATATAATGGCACAACCTTTGTGTCCCACATCTCTATAATGCTGCTTTTCGGATTGGCCATCAGCCTGTTGCAATTTATGCCTGAATGGAGTTTATTTATGCGATTGAACGGTACAAGTGTCATCTGACGGAGAAGGAGCAGACCACTTGACACGAGCTGTACTTTTAAGTCGCTAATCTTGGTGGATACTGTGAGCGCTCGTTTCTACCTACCGCCCTTCGGGATTGTGTTCGAAAGATTTTAGTCGAAAAGTCGTTGAATCTCGAAGATTCTTTGAGCCTTTGCGCCCATCCATTACAGAAGGGGTTGGTTTTTTTCTAAGGTAACATTGCAGAGGGAGGGCAACTAGTAGCCAGGAAATAAATTGGAAAGCATATTAGTCGTTAATAAAGCTGCATATGCATTCAGCTACTTATCGTAGAAGCACTACGATGGTCTCGCCTGTGTCGTTTCCCTGTCAGATAACCGACTGCTGAGGTTTCACTTTTGTGTCCGTTTCAAAACGATTACAATCAAACGTCATCAAGACGTTTAAGCGTGCACAAAGTGTACATCATCAACAGGATTCTTCTCTGCACGATTTGAAATTCCGTCTCATTTTACTCACAAAAATCACGCCACAGTCTTACGGTACCACTCTTTCGATCAGTTCTTTTTTCATTTAAAACAGCAGGTGTGCCGCAATCCTTTCCAGAACGTGACAACATGCCTTTTACACCTTCAAATGCGACGATAGAGTCTGACCCGACGCAGCTGCAGTAGAGCAGCTGGCACGAATCTCATCAGTTGAAGCAGCCACAATGCTGGATACATTGGACGCCCGCTTCTACCGATTTGGTCAGAGAATGTTCTCGTAACCGTCTGGACGCGCTGCTGATGAATCTGAAAGGTTCTTCAAGCGTCGGCGCTCGTCGTTAATTCTACGAGGTCCTTGCCATCCTGGCGTGTATGATCGATTCGCTGTCTACAACTCGAAACGGAGCATTTGGGTCCACGGGCTTTGGGTGGTAGACTTAATGCGCAGAACAGCAATGTGTGGATTTGATTGCTACCACCGGTATGGAGTGCTAAGCAAGGCATCAAATTGAACATCGCAAACCATTTGCCTGGATCTGAGATGAAGGAGATCATTGTTAGACTTCGACGTTGAAAGTGTACGTTGCGATATCGAGTTTGCTGGCCTCAAATACAGATAGTAAAGGCGCAGCATTTGCACGATGCGATTGGGAAGTAGAAAGAGTTCAGACACTGCAAGCAAAACTAGACCAAAACGTCTTCTGCAGTGGTGGTAGGCGTTGCAATCCGAGTCAAAACGAGGACAATCATGTCAGCGTACCATTAATGAATGTAGCAATCGTCGTCGATGCAACTCTCGCAGCTACTTGACAATCGCCCATTAATCATGGGCCGTTACCGTTGATTTAAGCCAAGCTTCCGTTCAGCATCCCCTATCTCCGCAGTAGCAAAAAGACATGTACGACCAATGTGTCCCTCGTCCGACAAGCACCTGTTTTCATTTCTTCATCCAGTCGTTGGTCGTACACACGACGAACAGTCCAAATGGCTACAGGCCTCGATCAAGTCTTGTGAACCACGTCACAAACGCGAGAGACCAACCGAGTGACGTCGCGTTCGTCCTGGCCAATCAATTCGCTCTAAAGTCCCCATTGCGCTCCTCAAGTCCATCCTCGGAGCTCCTCCTCACTCGTGATGGTCCGGAAGAGCAGCAGCACTCGCCCCGTCGCTCCATCAGTGCGTTAGTGCGAGCCGAAGATGCGGCAGAGGAAGAGATCCTCGAGACGCCAGCGCTCAGCTCCATTGCGGTCGCTGATCGTGGGTACAAGAGTGAGAGCGACGACGATGTTAATGACAGCGACACCGTTGAAGCAGAAGGTGCAATCGAGCGTCGGCTCGTGGCTGAGGCTCAGGCGGAAGCAGCGACTGATTTGAGCACTTTGAAGTCAGAGAACAAGCGTGTGTACAATATTGAGGCGCTGCTGGCGCTGGTGCAGGAGTGGGACGTCAAGCCGCTGCCGTGGATCGAGACCCTGGAGACGTGTACCGCTCCTTTAGAGCTCGAGAACGTGCACGACGATTCGAAGCGGGAAGTGGCGTTTTACACCAACTCAATCGCTATGGTGCGTGTGGCGAAAGACCGACTGAAGCAGGACGGTGTGGCGTACAAGCGGCCGGACGATTATTTCGCCGAGATGCTCAAGCGCGACGCGCACATGGACAAAGTCAAGGACAAGCTTATTCATGAGCAGAAGAAGATCACGGCAGTCGAAGAGCGCAAGAAGTCACAGGCGCATCGGAAGGTGGCGAAAGAAGTGCAGGCAGAGAAGGTCAAGGAACGGAACATGCAGAAGAAGGAGACACTGTTGAAGCTGTGAAGCAGTGGAAGAAGAGAAAAGGTAAAGACACACGCAGCGGCAGCGGTCTCAAGGATGGTGACGATGGCGAGCTTGACTCGACCATCGTGAGTGGCAAGCGGAAGCACACGGGTGGAGACCGTGACAAGGGGAGCAAAAAGCCACGGACGAACAAGACCCGAGAGGCCAAAGATGCAATGTTTGGCTTTGGGGGCAAACGTCGCCATGCCAAAAGTAACACGAAGGAAAGTACGAACGATATCTCGGGCTTCTCGGGTGCACGAAAAGGCATCAGGACCAAGGGCCAATCTACACCGAAAGGAGGCAAACGTGCTAGCAAGACTCAGCGCACAATGGGCCAACGGTAGATGGGGAAACTCTGGTTAGTCAGCTACGCTGACGAAGTAGAGACTGCTAGTCGAGAGTCGCTACATTTGATAAGAGAAAGCTCCTTATTCTTTGTTGGTTGTTTATCAGGAATTAGTTCGTTGCTGTAGTCTTTCGTTAAGCACCCTGATGAACTTGAATACCATCATAAACACTTTGTCCCGTTCCAAATGGAATATTGTTCTGCTGCATGAAAGCCAGCAGCATCTGCCGTTCGTTTGGTGGCAGCATGTCGAGGTTTTGTGGGGTCGTGTTGCGCGCAAGTTCAGCGATAGCGTCAAAATGACCAGTTGAAGCGCTATCGCCGCCTGCACCGCTGGACTTGACGCGCTTCAGAGCGTCGTGGTCTCCTTGTGTAGGCGCTACCGGTCCTTCGCCAGCGGAATACGGTCTCTTGGCTGCACGTGGATCTCCTCTTCCTGCTCGACAAGGATCGCGACTAGCGTGCGCCAAGTTACTGCTAGGCGGTTCGCTCGAATGTGCTGGTACAGTTGGTGTGGGCATCAAGCTTGATTTAGACTGAGTGTGCATCGGGCTAGAAGCAGGGGCGGGTCTGTTGGTCATAGCGGCACTCGTCGCCTGAGCAGCCAAAGGCCCCGGTCGTGCACTCCATCGCGTACCACCAGCTTTTGCTGACGCTCCTGGCATAGCCGACCGAACACCTGGCGGGGCCATACCTAGAATACCAGAACTAGATACCGCAGACCCGCCCATAGATGGCCGTAGCGGTTGCTGCATCATCCTTCCTGCCATGGGTGGTGGTTGGTGCATCATGGGAGGAGGGGCCAGCAACACTGCTTGTGTCTCTGTTGACGACGGAATGGAGATCTGCAGTGTCTTGAAACTCTGCACAAGTGCAGGTGTGAGCGCTGGGTTCGCCATCATAATGCTCTTGGTCACCTCTGGCTTCTGCCTTGCATGCTCCTTCAGCTGCACCAACATGTCGTACAACTTGACTGGTCCGAACCGAGAGATGGCCGACTCGATTGCATGGATCGCCATCTCTCCAGTCACCATCGTCGGGTGCCCGCCCTCGCTCCGAAAGTTGCTACCAGTAGCTCCTCCAGGTCGAGATTGGCTTCCAGTCTCGTGACGTTTACGTTCGGACCCTCCAGACTTGGCCCCATTATGGCTTCCAGTCTCGTGACGTTTTCGTTCGGACCCTCCAGACTTGTCCTTACCATCGACAAAGTCCACCCGGAGGTTGCGTCCTTTGATCTCGTACCCATTGAGGTTCCGCATGGAACTTAAAGCCGTGGCTCCGTCCGCATATTCACAAAAACCATAGCCCTTGGGTTTTCCAGTCTCTCTGTCCATCACGAGGCTGCAACCAGTTGCAACGAAACTGCAGAAAAGACATGAAGTCACGTAATTTTATTCGTCAGACAGACACATATTAACAGAGAGTATACACGTGGTGAGTCACCACAGGCTAATGATGACGGCTCCCAAGTGAAGCTTTTCATTCGGGGGAGTCGGACGGTGGGTATACGAGAAGAAGAAAATTAGGATACCCGAGTCTATAGGGGCGTCTGAATCCGAGCCTGCGAATAGGACTCGAGCGGGTAGTCAGACTCACGGTAAGTACAAGAGTATCTTCAGTTCGGAGGATAAGCATGCTGACATGCCCTTCCCCCGCGCCTGCTACTGCACACTCTCTTTCTAGCGATGCGGTGATGACTTGTACCGTCGTGATAAAGATTCTAGTGGTATCAAGAATTTCGTTAGTACCTTGTAAGAGGCCTTAGACGTGTATATGTGCTGCGGCTTGCCTCCGAACACAAGAATTGGGTATTACTAGAAAGAATTTAGAGAGACCTGTCAGGTGAGACAAGTCTACATCACCGAAGTTCATTAATCAATACAAGGTTATTGCACAGCCTCTACCTCAGCGCTAGTAACTTTTAAGCTAAAGAAGACTTGTAAATGAGTGCTCTTTAAAGCATCGTTGGTATAGTGACAGCACTAAGCGAGACAAAAGCTCGTTGCTGCAGGCGTAACGCCTTAATGCTCAATGTGCAGCACATGGGGATCAAAGGTTGGCTTTAGATACTTAACACAGCTCGTGTTAGGTTTGAAAAGCGAACCTTAACTGGTGCATTCCGTGTTTTGAGGCAAGAATTTAATACTTCATGTGGGGCGATTTATGTCCGTGTTGTCTCGACAAAGCTCAACGCACCTAAAAGATATGTTTGCTCCCTTCCTTCACCCTGAGGTAAGGCGCACATCTCTTCTAAATTGCACAATGAGATTGCTAGCCTGCGATCTCTCTACCGGCGCCATTGGCGCGTGTTTAATGATGAACCTTCTGAGACATCGGATGTGTCTCGTCGTACTGGTGGACGAGACCCTCAACGTCAATCACCATCTGGGTGCGAGGCTCTCAGCTGTCGTGCAAAGTTTACAGCCTCGCCAGAGAACAAGACAAGTTTGCTTCCCTTTTACGTTACGCGGTTCAAGATACAATCCACGTGAAAGATTTGGCCAGTGTTAGAGTCCAACAATGGCTGTAGTGAATATGAAAGGATCAACTCCGAATATTTGTAGTGAAGATGAAAGGATCAACTCCGAATATTTATTGGAGTTAAAGGCGAAGATTATTTGTCTCCAGCCACGCTAACAAAAATCTGCGTGATAGTAATGAACAAGAGAGACCGTTGCGCCTCCCTTTAAACGCGTGAGTGCAACGCATACACCTTTATTGATCAGGCGACCGATCTAATTTCGCGTTCTCCTCACTTAAAGAACGAGCGGGAGCGTCCAGCCTTTCACGACAAAGTGGCTGACATGCATCGCCAGCATGCGGTATTTAGAGCCAGATTGAGATACTGGCTTGAGTACATAAGAATACCTTGGTTTTTCTTGAGGGTGGCGGTTGTACTATCCCAGGGAAGAGACCTCGTTACGATGGCACTAGCAGAGGCGACCGACGTTAATCGTAGGAGGCGCACGTATCCTGCGAGATAACTCGATCGTAAACGCATAACCTTTGCGATGTAGTACACGAAAGGGGCCGATGTGTTCTTGAGGATTAGTTTACTAGTAACCACATTAGTTACCACGTGCTTAAGTATACTTTTATGTAGACGATAGAACTAAGTCTCTAACTTTTAACAGAATAACGTTGGCTCTTCCATGTTTGTCAGCAATCGGCTTCTTCCGTACTACCGTGTTAGCGATGGAGTCTTGCATAAAATGAACCACCGCTTCTCGTGCCATCAAGATAATTTTCTGCTGACTCACGTTAATTTGTTTCAACGCGCCTTAAGCAAAATGGCAAAAGTTCATCTTCTGCTTCAGCAAATTTCATTCATTCTCGCTGGTGTTGTCGTTAAAAATGCTGAATACACCCGCATCGTATCTATATCCGGCTCAGCCATTGTGAAGTCGCTTTTGCTGAGGTTTCTTCTTCAATGTCGATCAAGTGGACATTAGCAACGTTCACGTCGTCGAGTTCCTTGACACGTGATGAGCAAGAGGCAGATGATTTTTTTCTGATTGAAAACCGCTCTTCTATTAAATAGAGTCACGCTTTAAATGTGTTGATCGGCGTGTATGGCTTAACCCGCTCACGAAAATTGGTGTATGTGTTGTAGACGCATGCACGGAGTTGTTGATTGTAAACTCCAACATCGTCCAAAATTTGATCCATTTGTGAAAGACTGGACGCATCCTAAAAAAATTGAGGACGCGATTGACGCGTTCTGTCTGACCAGTCTTGAGATGGTAAAAAGTAGAAAAATTCAGACGTGTTCCGAGGGATCGAAACACGAATTATAAAAACGCCGCCGTGAACAAAGTACATCTATTAGAATATAGTTAATAATGTAGACCGTGGATTCATTATACCGTGTCAATGAAGACAAGGGCACGACCATGGGATAAAATTGACTCATTAACTGCAGCAAGATGTAAAACCTTGCTAAATTGGTCTACGAACACAAGAATACCAATATTCTTGCGAGCGTCGTCGGGGAAACCGAAGGCGAATATGCTTGAAATGAATTGCCAGTACTTTGCCGAAATTTGTAGAGGAGTTAGTGCTGAACAGGGTAAAGGAATGGAAATTAACATGGAAAACTTTCCAAAACAAATGTACTTACGAACGAAATGATACTGGTAGGCTCAGTAAAAGTCGCGACCGTGAGATAAGTTTGTCCAATCCCACGATGCCCACTAGGTTGTGCGACTTGGTATTCGTTCAAGATGCGCAAGCGCAAATATTTTTGAGTGGGGACGACAACACGAGGCATCTCTCCGTAAACGGCTGTATAGAACAGAAATCCTCTGCAAATTTTGTATTGACCCTCATGGAATTAGTAACAGGCCAGTAAATCCTTGAAACATTTACGATATGAGTCACCAGATGATCCATTAATTGCAAAAGAGCCTTATTTCTGCTTAGCCTTTTTGTTGATTCGTCGAGCAATCTTGACGGCGAAATACTAATGACTAGTGTTGCTACAGTGGGATCACCCCTACTGTTGTACTACGCAGCTGACTTGTAATCGGTTTGGAGCGATTACGCATCTGTGACGACATTGATTCGTCCAGGTTTAAACTTCACGAAAAAGTTGCAATCCTCAAAAAAGGATAGCCACCTCCCTATCAATTGCGAGAGGTGTGGGCTGTTTACAGACGCGAGTAATAACGCATAGTCCGTACAGACTCCAAACGACCTATGTCCAAGGAGGTAGACGCGAAACTTCGCCATTGCATAATTTATCACAAGGAGTTACTTGTCATGCAATGGGTAATTACGCTTAGCCTTTTGCAGCTGACGCGATTGATACTAGACGCGCTCTGCACCGTCTGCATCGTTTTTCATTAACGAACCAGCGATTGCAAAATGTATGGCGTCACCGACCACATATTATGGTTTGTAGTGGTCTACCATAGTCAAAATGGGCGATAGCATCAAGCTATTCTTGCACCTTCAAAAGAGTGCTGACACTCAGCGTACCATAATCACTTCTAGTTC